AAGAGCCAGTTGTTCGTCTCGAAACGCAGGCAGCGTCGCCGGACCTCGGGGTCCCTTCCTACGTGGTGCCACCAGTGTGGCTGGGTGTACCAAGTAATGAGATCACCCTAGGTGAGGCAAAGCTTATACTGAGCGACTTTGGAGTTGCCTTTCGCCCAGGCGACAAGTCTCGATTCGAGTCATACACACCCCTTATCCTCCGTCCGCCTGAGGCTTTTTTTGAGCCCGCAACGCCCCTCGCATTTTCTTCTGACATTTGGAGTCTGGGGTGTGTGATTTTCGAGCTCCTCGCCCATAGGTCGCTTATCGACGGATTCCTCGCACCGCAGGACGAGATTACAGCGCAGCAGGTAGAGCTTCAGGGCCTCATGCCAACCGAATGGTGGGGAAAATGGGAGAAGCGCCCGAAGTGGTACGATGACGGCGGCAAGCCTTTAAGCAACGCATCTGATATCTGGTCTTGGGAACGACGGTTCGAGCAGTGGGTTCAAAACCCGCGACAGTCTAGGAACATGGAAACGATTAGTGAAGAGGAGCGGGATGCGCTGTTTAAACTCCTATGGTGGATGCTTGCATGGAGGCCGAGCGAACGACCAGATGTAAAGAGGGTGATGGAGTCAGATTGGATGACGAGGTGGGCTTTGCCAGCATACCAGAAAGGCTTGGAGGGGCTTTGACCTTCCCCGAAGCGCACCACTGATCCACGTATTGGACATAACGACTCCCACCAAATTGGACCAAGATTATGTTGGTGTATCTCCGTCTCACGCCCGCCCGCTTACATCAGGTGGCTTGCTAGCGGGAGATGTATTCACAGGATCTATGGAGAGGATGGATCATAGTAGCGTAGATGCCAGCAATGCAGATGCGGCTTGAAAGAGAAGAATCTAGTATTCGAGCGACAGCAACAGGAATGACATGAGGACTTGACTTCGGCTAGTTGAGTCTCTTCCAGGCCGCCACCTCCAGTGATGTATCCCCTGAGGTCGTGATAGATCTCGACTGCAATTCGGTCAAGCGTGAATCTCTCTTCGACCGTCTTCTAGACCTTCTATCATTACTCAGGGTTCATATCATACTTTCATCTCTCCATTCGGCGTGATAAACTTAGATGGAGAACGTGATGCCCTATCAGGAGACCCCTACGGAGCCACGGCATTGGGGGCTAGTCAGGGGCTAAGGGTCACGAGAGCGTATATATAAGGACCGCGGAGGGCCCTTCAAGCTACGGAGGGCTAGAATTGATATGTATCACACCCCTATACCCATGATCTATTGCCTTCCGACTACGCATGGAAGCCCTCCCCACACTGCTCCAAACCAAGCATTGACAACGGGCAATATTTTCCGCTGTAAAAATTCATTTTGGATGTTATTTTACCACAAACCTAACATTTGATCGCGGCAAGAATCTGCTGAATAGCACTGCACCCTGCGTACAGCCTTGCTCTGATAGTTGCGCCTACCTTCGATACATGAGCTGCAGCAACTTTAAAATCCAGCATCCCGTCATTTATCGATGACAACGGCCCACGTAGTCCCCAGGTCCGGGACTAATATAGCTATAATACGTCCACTCTCTCATGAATCCCTTGTCCCAGTCGAACACCAAAGTGCCCAGCAAAATAGAGGTAACCAAACCAATAGCCAGCATCACATTCGGCAACAAAATCAGTGACAGCTTCACCCACCAACTGCCAATCAACTGTCCGCGCGTCAATCCCTCCTCAAACATCGCCTTGCGCCTGTTGAGCATGTCTACCTCCTCCAAGTAGCTGATGAAACGCATGACATGAACGAGAATGAAAGATCCACTCATACCGATCACATCAGCAAGTCGCATGAGAATGGTGCGTTGCAGACCACATGAGTATTTGGCTTTGAGGACCATGACCAAGCCAACAAGGACTGTCAAGTTTGTTGAACCAAATTTCAGTTGGCGCATGAGTGGTCGCTTGTCTGGGTACCTGGAAATGTTGACGTCTTTGCCACCATTCGCGCAAGCCTTTAGAACCCTTTCATCCAGGGCTTATGAAACATGTCAGAAAAAGAAACACCTATGGCGCAGGAGGAGTACCGACTCACATTGCTCAATGAACGTGTCGCAAACGGGTGGCAATTCCCGTAACGCGATCAAAGGGGGTTGAATGACCACCACAGGCGGGGCCTGTTCTTCTTTGCAGACTCGAGCAACCCCCCGAAGAGGACAATCGAACCTTGCGCGCACAGTTCCATGCTTCTTACCCAATTCGCTTGACGAGAGAAGCAATAACCTGGCTCCACGAACCAGCACCTCATCAGTAATCTGACCGAGTTTGCCTTCGACTTTTGGAACATGTATGTCGAGCATCAGACAGGCTTGCTGGCTTTCATTCCTCAGGAATTCATCCTGTTCTGGTAGTAGGCATTTCAGAGTGACTTCAAAATTGGTTTCGTTCTGGGTCATACGAATGCGGAAGGTCGATAGAAGCATAGCACCTGGCTCTGTCAACAAGATGCCAGACTTCAAGACCCTCGACGTGAGCCAGGCCCCCGAATACACAAGAAGGCCATCAGGCTTGGGCGACACTCGCGCGTCTCCGAATACCTGTTCTGTTCCAGGACTCGAGGGAATCCATCGATCGGCGGAGTTTTTGCCCGCGCGAGGTCTGGGATAGTCGTTGTACATGATTTCAGCGGGAAATATATCCATGCAGTTGAGAATGACCTTGATTCTGTCAACTGACTCATCAAAGTCTCTCAGTCGGGAGGCCCTGACATCCGTCAGATTGGCAATGATGTCTGGGAGATCCTCGGCTTTGGTAGTATGCCGTCGACCTAGGAGGTTCCATATATCTAGAAGGCGTAGATACTTGACCTCGGGGCTCGGGGGAGCGGCATTGTGCCGGAACTGTTCTAACGGTCGCCTCTGAGCCGAGATTGAGCTTGTTGCCAGCCTTAAGGCACGATAGATCAGGTCTTTTGTGATATTCTCCGCTGGCTCGGTGCCGTAGAACAGCCCACCCTTTGCAACAGTGGCGTGGTTGATTGGCGGTCCGTCAATCCACCGATTCGCGGCAGCAATGGTGGTCCACCCGAGACGCTCCCCGAACCAGTAGACCCCTATCACAGGGCCATACCAGAATGGCTTATCATGAGCGAACATCCTCATGTCTTGCGCGAAACGATCCTCAACAGTGATCGAAACAACTGTGTCTTTGAATTGGAAAAGGCAGTTCCGTGCAAGAACCCCTTCTTGCAGGGTCCAGCACCGCGTGTTCCATTTAGAAGTTGCCGTCCACGCAGTCAGTTCCGCAGTAGAGCGTTCTGAGATGCTCATATTTTCCAAATCGCGATCCACAACAAGGACTTGAGCGGCTGCAGTATAGATAAGTGCCATTCTGCTGATGGCCTTTTGTCTTATGTTGGCATATTGTGGAGACACGGGAATGCAGAGAGTATCCATCCAGAAGAGTGGGCTTCGTTTAGGCGTTCGAGTGGATTTCTCGCCGAGTTGGTCATGCGACGATAGGGATTTGGCGATCCTGGTGAGCCGGCATGTCGGCAGTGCGTTCTTTTCGGGGTTGCCCATCCCGTCAATCCACACATGTGACATGGCTGTGTATTGCGCATCCGAAAACGTTGAGCACGCCTCAAGCTCTAAGAAAGCTTCTTCATCCGCTGCTATCTTGATTCTCACCAGCGGAATCTTATCATTTTCGATAATGCGCATAAGGTCCTTTTCAGGCAGGCTGACCAGAGCGCACTGACAACCATCAATAACGTGACGCGCGCTCTTGGTGGACGCGCTGGTGTTGTATGCTTTGCAGTGGAGATAGGTACAGGCCCCATGATTGATATCAGGGCCCTCATCACGGTCCAGAAAGCTGAGATAGTAGACCATGAGGTGCTCGGCGCGGCAAAAGACGGTGATGATCTGTGAGTGACACCAGCCGTTGTCTTTGAGCCGGTCAAATAGCAGTCGTTGCACAGGTGTCAGTTCATCAAGCTTGACAGATGCGTCCTCAAGCACTGTAACATGGGGAGCCCGAGTCGATGTCAGTGTAGTTGTTGTCAAGCCATAGAAATCTCCGGCCAGCAAGCCAGTGTCAATGAAGCCACTGATGAAGTCCGTCAGTATTCTGATTGACAAGAAGATGGCAATGCTCGGCTCATCGTCCGTGACCACCCGTTCCAGCCTTTTGCTGGTGTCGACAGCCGTTTGAAGTCTGTGCTGGATTGTCTTGATACGCCCTTGGCTGTCTGCTGATCGGAGGTCAAGAGTGACCTGGGTCATAATCGCCTGCAAGGCTGTGGCATCGATCGATTGCCCGTCGCTGCTGATGAATCGAGATCTTTCCACAGAACAACCGAGTAGACCGTCGATCAGCCCGAAGAACAGCCATTCTTGGGCGAGGCTGGCAAGCTTCCGGGCGGGGAGTGTGATGTCAAGAATCTGCTTATGTCCACAGCCGGCGCGGTATGGGTACAAGCTGAACTCGTCGTCATCGAGACTAAAGCCAGGCAAATAAGGTACAATGACAGGCGAGAGTCTCGAACTTTTCGGTGTCGCGAGGTATTCCATTCTGTCTGAAGATCTCGATGCCGATAGATGAATGCTGGTTTACGATGAACTTCGGCGGGGTTGTTGCTTTGCCGCAGTAGCGTGTTGCCCAGTTTTGAATCCTTGCACCAACTTTCGGAAGAATGCGTAAGCGCAAGCGGCTTTACTCTCGACACTCAGGGACATGACATTTAACTTGATTCCGACCCCAAGCGAAGCATTCACGACCCATCAAACAAACCCAGGGAATTCCAAGAGGAAGTATGTCGCAAAATGCAGCTTGTTGCAAAAATATTAAACAGATTGGCTTCATGATGCAGCATTTGGTTCTAGGTTCAACCGTTTTCAATGAGCATACCTACAATGGGACTACAACCCCCTTCCTATCCTGAAAGCATGTCGCATGCCCACTAGAATACTTTTACCCAATCTGCTGGTGTTCAATCCATCATTTTACCCATGATGGAAGCCGAGTCTCGAAATAATGCACAAGCATCGAGGTGAGCCTAACTGAACCTCATTGCCACAAGACATTCATTCGCCCCCGATTGTACAATTCTTGCCTAAGGCACTGATAGGTCACCTCTTCATCTCGATCAATCCAAGTTCAAGGCAATATCGTTCGCAGCATCACCACCGCTATCACCACCACAGAGCCCTATCCTGAAGATGTCAACGCCTAGTCTGGTATCCGTGTTCAAAAGATATCCTAAGGAACTCTTTCGCGTGAACAACGGCTATGCGGTCAAAGTGCGCCCTTGGTCACCCAGGCGACGAACGTACGACATTGTGGCGGAAAACGGAGTCGTCCAATCGAAGGCTCTCGAGCCATCCAGCTACATAGGTCAGTCATCCAGAAAGGAGACAACGAGCCGGTTCATATCCTCCTGATCCTGATTATGAACGTACTAGCCCCCAACGGCGCATCCATGAGGCCCAATTCGCCCTACCAGCAATCGCTGGTGTCCTGGCGTTTCCATGGCAGTGACACCATTGTCTATTCAGTTGCCGAGGGTAGGTGAACAGCACTTAACTGCATCCTTTTACCCCTGACGCGACAATAAAGAGACATTAACAAATGCGGCGAAGGAACCACACTTCCTGAAGACCTTCTCCTAGTCCACGAGCGGTCAGACCACTACTCCCTGCAGCCATCAACGGCAATGGGTCTTGAAGGTGAGTTCTCGTGTATTTTGGATGCTGTGATTGAAGGTTGATCCACATTGGAAGAGCTGGAAGTCAAGATCACACGCTTCTTCATGGCCAATGCCAAGGCGTTCACGAGGGAGCAGTGGCTGGAAGCCTATCCAAGAGCCACCGAGGCCTCAGATTTTCGGAAGACATAGCAACGAAGTTGACTACCTGCGATTCTCCTTCTTGTTATTGTGGCAATAGACAGGTGATATCTTGACAGAGTGCCACGCAAGACGTTGAATATTCAATGCTTTCCCTTGTGAACAGACTGCGCGAAACGTCGCATTGGGCATGTCAAGCTGGGATATTCCACCTGAATGTTTGCCAAAGATGGCACACAGTGAACTTGAAACTGGGTGAAAAGAACTCATACTACCGACAATTACCTCTAACCCAGTCGTCAATTTGTGTGCTGAAGTTGCCCCTGAGACCTAGACACCAATGGAGCTTTATGCGGCCCCTCGACGGCTAGCAGACGAAGCTATTGAGAGATTTCAAGGGGTCCAATGTGGTCGTCTATGCGATTCCCGAGGGTAAGCCGTCTACCCAAGTCCCCATCGTCCAGGAATCCCGACTCTCAAAGGCAACATGTTGCCCGACGACCTGATTCAGTTTCGCTGTCATCGTTTTGTAGCGCATGCAGCCCACCGATGTCGCGGACACTGCAGTTGATTGCTTTCAATGGGTACTGTTTTTGGATGATCGTAATGCACACTGAGTAGGAGACAGATGCGATATTCTATAAATTTGCGCCGTAGAGAAAGAGGACGAGAGTTGACACTTTTGGACTATGTGCCTGCCAATTTTAGGTGGGCCCAGCTCTGCACTGTCGCTATTCCTGCGCTGTCGCTATCCGATAGGTTATTGAGGACCCTCGGCCAAACTAAACACTGAGACTTGTTAGGCCGTTGGTTTGTTACATCCCCATGAGTAGGCACCTTGCCTATCTTCGCACTGATCATCATCGCGTCAACTCCCTTAAGGTAGGAAGATGAACCGCCCCTTTGTCGCCATTTTCAGACGTGCTCGCAGCACTGTCCTCCAAACCCGACCGCAAGTCGTGATTCGACGACAGTTTTCAGCCAAGGCGATATACTCGTCGTTCCCTGCCACTCTTCACTATTACGCCCCTAAGCCCGTCTCGTCCCTGTTCGATTCCAAGGAGGAAGATGAGAGGCCACATGATATTTCTGACGAGGGAGTGACTGTAGAGCCTAGCGGCATTGTGTATCCGGCCTTCAACAGATCTGGTTGGTAGTCTGGCCAGCTTCCATGGAACACAGGGCTGAACCCTTGACAGTTTCGAATGGCGCCGTCATGTTCCCCAACACGTTCATGATGCAAGAGCTCATTCGCATGCACTTTGACTACGTGCTTGACCGAGAAGATGAAGGGCACGAGGTTGACACGCCATTTGTGTACACCATTGCTCAGGGTAGGAGCGGATTCCATGAATGCAATAGCCGTGTAACCTGACATAAACGAAATAGGAACCCCAATCCCTAGCCACCTCATCCTCATCAACGAGTATATGTCCAGGTTCACGCTTCAGCCATCGCGTGGCATGCCGCTACAAGGTCTGAGCATATCTATCCACCTTACCAAGTTACGGCGCTAACACTGAATAGAATTGAACCAGTCACTGGATAAGTTCTATGCCCAGTACGCCCAGAAGGAAACGGCAGAGAGCTGGCTGGACGCACATGCTTTCAAAGACGCTGTGGCAGATGACGCTGATCCCGTATGGATGGCTAGATAGATCAGAGGGTGCGCTTCTATTGCATCCCGTTGGCGACATTGAATTCGGCCGCGCCAGCCGAGCAGTGGCTCCGCCGCTGCGTTGCACCGACGTGGCGTGGCATGGCGTGACCGGAAAACGGCGTCTGCTTTGTAACAGTACTGTACTAATACTAGAGGCGAATAAGGACTCAATGTATATTAGCTGACTTGGGCAACCCGTATTTGGATTTAAGTATTGCGATCCTAGGGGTAAACGTTAGTTTCATTGACCTCAACTATCTTAGGCGAAATTGTATCAAAGAGTAAGCTATGCATATAAGTAAGTGGCATGTATCTATCGTTCGGCGGACGGGACCATGAGAACAGAACTAGCGTTCCTCCCCGTGCTTCACGTGTGGGCGCCGTTCTAACATCCCACTCGACTGGGCAGCGTACCAATCTGACGTAAAAGACAACATATCTAGCAAGTATCTTGATTTCAGACATGGCAATGGCATCGCCGTGCATCAGCTTGAACTCAATGACGCAGCTGACTAAGGTCCGTTGAACCCCGCATCGCACCAGCATTGGCACAATGGTAACGAGCTGTTCTCCGGTTCGCTGTCGGCAGTCCTCTTGTTCTAAGAAGGTCAGTCAAGGCATTCTGTCAAGAGAATCATGTTCAATGCATGACACCATCGCAGCGGGGCCTCGCCTCATCTCATGCTCCATCAAGCCCCATCGCCTTATAAAGCGATTCCTCGTAGCCGGCCGACCTTCTTGAGAGAGACATCTACTTGTTGCTGCATTGAAACATCACCCCTCCCAAGAGAGCCTGCCCATCATGTCCGCTCCGTTCCTCGACCACCTCGTCATTCTCCTCCCCCACTCCGCCCTCATCTCCCCGCCCGAATGCTCCGCTCCGCCTTCCACCTCTATCCCGGCGGCCAGCACGCGGACAACCGCACCGCCAACACCCTCGTCCTCCTCCCAGACGGACCTACCTCGAGCTCATCGCCTTCCTGCCTGACGTCGCCCCCGAAGACCGCGCCAGCAACCCCTGGGACGCGAGC